CTTAACGCGTTTTCGCATATACGCGGTGCCTTGCCAAAGCTGAACTTTCACTTAACGCGGATTTTTCCACAGCAACGCGGTGAGTGTCCGGCTCGGATGCTATTTTTAGATTTTGACCACGCGCCACCCGCCCGCCCGCCCTCCTGCCTGCCTGCCTGCCTCTCCCTCCTCCTCCCTCCGCTTGGGCAAGCGGCGCGGTAAGGTTGCGCAGTGTGTGTCTTTGTTGCGTTATCACTGACGTCATATGACGTCTCGGACTGTGATTGGCCATGCAGCCCTACCCCCCTCTGCTGCTAGCTGTAATTGGCTTAAAGTATTATGACGTGACTACCCCGGGGAGGGAGGGAGGGAGGAGAGACGACGCTTGACCTAGCCGCGGCAGTTTCATCCCTCAAGGCCACGCCGTGTTAACGCGCATCCATTGTTCCGTAAAATGGCTTCCGCCGGACCACCACCCCCAGAGAGAAACCTTTCCTTACCTGGACCCAGCGGCACTAAACCAAAGAAGACACGACGTTCATTAAGCTACGAGCTGAAGTACCAAATTGTTCAAGATTTGGAGAAAGGAAGACGCCAAGTTGATCTCGCGCGCCAGCATGGCGTCAACGAATCTACGATTCGTACGATCAAGAAGGATGCAGCCAAGATAAAGGAGCACATGAAGCTCACAAAGTCTGCAGGTGCTTCAGCTATCAGGTATTGCCAGAACAGGGTGCTGGCAAAAGTGGAAACTTTGCTGGTGAGTTATTTGGTGCGTCAGGCGCGACGCAACATGGCGGTGGACACGCGCTCAGTGCAGGAGTACGCACGTGAGCTATACGCAGCAGTGACACGTAAAATGGGAATTGCAGAGCCCAAACCCTTCAATGCTTCCCATGGTTGGCTGCATAGGTTTAAGAGGAGGAACAAGGTCACCAACATCAGCATTGTTGGTGAGGAAGCGAGTGCTGACCGTGCGGCGGCTAGAGATTTTCCTCCGTTTTTACGTGAGATTATGGAGGAAGGACAGTACACTGACGACCAGGTGTTTAACATGGACGAATCTGGTCTTTTCTGGAAAAAGTTACCTTCCAAGACCTTCGTTGTCCAGTCTGCGAGCAAGGTAAGGGGCCGGAAGATGCAGAAGGAACGCATCACCGTCCTGTTTACCACCAATGCCTCCGGTACCTGTAAACCAAAGTTATCGGTGATTCACAAAGCCCGCAAGCCGCACGCCTACAAGAATATGGACATGAACAAGCTTAATGTCCACTGGCTAACCGCACGTAAGGCGTGGATGTCCTCTTCTCTGTCCCTCTTCTGGTTTGACAACTTTTTTGTTCCTGACGTGCAGAAATTCTGCGAGCAACAGAATGTTCCATTCAACATTTTGTTGCTCCTTGACAACGCACCTGGACACTCGCCCCTACTAATGGATCGTCACCCCAACGTAAAAGTGGTCTTCCTTCCTCCCAACACCACGTCATTAATCCAGCCTATGGACCAGGAGTTAATCTGCAACGTTAAAGCTGCATACTCGGCAAAGAAATTCAAGCTCCTGAACGACTCTACCAACACCAAGGATGAGTTGCGTAAGCTGGGTGACACCGACAGCGAGAGTAAAAGCGACGAGGACAAGGAACAAGAGGCGGCGACTCAAGAAGTTCTCGTCAAACAATTTTGGAAGAAGTTTAACGTCAAACAAGCTGTAGACTTCTTGGTGGAGGCATGGGATCTGCTGTCTACTGCTACGATTCGTCACGCATGGAGACATGTGTTGCATGGCATACCAGGTGAGAGGAGGAGTAATCTGTTACTGGTCAGGTTCAGACTGTTGCAGTAGCAGTGGACCTTGCCAGAGAAGCTGCGCAGACTGTTACAGCTGAAGGCTTCTCCGAGACCACCAACGAAGACATCATGGAGGTGATCAGAGATCCTGAAGTGACTGCCGACGAGATGTTGGAAGAAGAACCCGCCAGTGAAGAGGAGGAAGAAGGTGCGTCATTCTCCGAAGAACCTAGTTTAAGTCATAGTGATATTAAGTGTGTCATAGAGTTAACAGAAAAAATTAAGTCCATCGTTTCCCGCGACACTGACGATGAACGCCATGACGTCTTCCATAACCGACTGGTGCAGGCTATGGAGCCGTACATCAAGGTGTATCACGACAACATCAAAGCCAGCCGTCAGCAAAGCATAACCGAGTTCTTCGCCCGCAACCCACCACAGCCAGCCCAAGGCAGTGATAGTGATAGTGAAGGTGATTTTGAGGGATTTGTCAGGGAAGCCATGACAACTGTAAGTGACAGTGATATTGATTCACCTAGTAATGGTGATTCACCTAGTAATGGTGATTCACCTGAGGGGCAGTAATCTGCCCTCTGCCTCGGAACCAGCCTCCATCCCCGTATGCCGACCCATCTCTTCTACTACCGTGAGTGTTCCTTAAAACTTTTCGTTTTTTAACCTATTCTTTATTTTTCCTATGTTAACCTTTATCTTTCCTAACCTAACCTCTTCTATATTACTTGTTTTTCATGCCACCATAAAGTTAAGATAGAATTTTTACTACAACATAGTTATTTGTCGTCAAAAAGTGGAGTTTGGGGGTCGGGCTGGGTTCTATTGGAATTAATCCCATATGTTCTGTTATTCACTTAACGCGGTTTTCACTTAACGCGGGACCCTCTGGGTTCAATTGACCGCGTTAAGTGGGGTACAACTGTATATATATATATATATATATATATATATATATATATATATATATATATATATATATATATATATATATATATATATATATATATATATATATATATATATATATATATATATATATATATATATATATATATATATATATATATATATATATATATATATATATATATATAATGATATATTTCATGTAGATCCACAATGGAAACGTGGATAAGATAAATCTTGATAAAATAACATAGGGAAAAAGGAAACAATGGAGAACGTTAGCTTTCGTCTTTATTCAAGCCCTTACCTTCAAAATTGAAAGAGAAATAAATGGATCCCTTCCATTTCTTGATATGCTTGTCATGAGAAATGGACATAACTATAAATTCAAGGTGTACAGAAAGCCTACACAGGTAGATAGCTTCATACATTTTTTATCGAGTCACCATTAGTCTTCCAAAATGTCATTTTTTTCTGCTATGTTTTTGAGATGTTTGCGTATTTGTGACCCTGAATTTATTGAAGACGAACTGCAACATTTTCAGTCCATTGCACAAAAACTTGGGTATCCTTCATTGTTTGTTGATCGTTGTTTTAAAAGTGCTAAGCCATCCTTATATTCTATTCAAACTAGGCAAGTTCCTACATTTAAGAATATTTTGACTCTACCTTATCGCAATGAATTTGTCCCGTTAGTTCAGTCCCTTAAATTATTAAACATTAATGTTGTTTTTAAGTATGACTCAACTATTACTAATATATTAATTAAGAATAGCCCAACCTTGAATGTAAATGGAAGTGTTTACTGTATTCCATGTAGCAATTGTGATGGAAATTATGTAGGTCAGACTGGGCGTAAACACCTTAGTTAAGGACGTTCAGGTGACGGGCAAGTCGAAGGGAATGATTGAAACCCGTCTTTTGACGCATTCAGTATTTATTGGTGTGGTCAAAACCTGCAGAGAACAAGGCATTCATTAGTATTACATGGTGATTTATCTGATACATAATTAGTTAGTCTCACACAATTTATCTTAATTATAATTGATTATTGAGCATAGTGACATGATACAAAGTTCATAACTCTATTAATCTTAGTTACACTTCATTCCGAGTTGTCTTATTGCTGCTCCAGATAGGGCAGGAACGAGTAGGCATAATTAGTCCACAATATTTCATTACTGAGGGGTATGTCATCACTTTGGCTGTACTTACAAATGCGGGTCAATGCGAACCAGTATGGTGTTCCAAGGGAAAATAGTGCTGTGTAAATTGTTCCAGCACAAAACTCGGCCAGGATTGGGAGTCGGTGTTCATCATTGCTAGCATATGGCTGGTCCTCACAGCATCACTCGAGAGGGCGTCAGTAATTTCCAGGAGGGGCGCAAGCCCTAGGGAAAAGGTAGGAATTTCTCTAATTATAATTATATTTTTTATTCTCTTGACAAGAGCGTGGGCTAATATTGAGAAGTTTATGAAAAAATGCAAAAGTATCGCCTTATAACTTCAGTTTTCTAGAGGCTACTTTTTTGACTTAGAGCTTACCATTTTCTGTTTTTATTGACCCCCTCCCTATCCCTCGAAACCCATGGGGGGGGGGGGGTTAACTCGTCCTGGACCTGTATACTGCTCGTTGGTGACTGGTGAGCCCCGTTCTCTCCCAGTCTTCTGCACACGTCCGTGGCAATAATTCCTCTTCTCTCACACTTATTCAGTTAAGGCTGTTGAGGTATGTTTTATCCTAGTTGTTATATTTACCTAAAAATAGTAAGCAGCCATAAGTTTATTGGTGAATTGTGAACACGCATGTGTTGCTCTGTTATTCGCAAGTTTTGAATTCCGTTTGTATTTTATCAGAAGTTGGTGGTGCTTAAAATCATGTGGTGGTAACAGGTGGTTATGGTAAAGTTGTATTTATGATGATATTGATTTGTTTCTTAATAATCATGTGTTTATGATCATGATGTGTTTACTATAATGTTGTGGTGTTTGTTAATATTTACTTACATGTTTATGATCATGTAGTGGTGCTTATGATCATGTTGTGATCATTGATGTTTGTTATTAATCATGTGGTGTTTATGATCATGTGATGTTTGTTAATGATATGGTGGTGTTTATGATCATGTATGATTGTAGTCACTTGTAGTGTTTACAAACTTTACGATCATATGTTTGTTATTGATCATGTGGTTGTGATTATCATGATGTTGTGGTGTTCATGAGCACGTGGTGATGTTTATCTTACCTTACACGTGCCTTATGTTTTGTTCACAGATTTGTGTTGTCCACTGCACATCAAATAATTCGCAATGAGTACAAAGAAGCGAAAGTGTCTTGACGAATATATTCGATTTGGATTCGTGTCTCTTCAAAAGGGTGACACAGAGGTCTCCCAGTGTGTGATATGTCACAAGACTCTGAGCAATGATGGAATGCGGCCCTCACGCTTGGAGCGCCACTTGAGGACAATACATCCTGCTCTAGCTGACAAGCCCAAGGCATTGTTTGAAACAAAAAGACACTCCTTGAAGCAAGTTAAGTTGGACGGCAGTAGGGCATTTCGGCAACAAACTTCAAAGGTTGTTGAGGCTTCCTATGAGATCGCCATGTTGATTGCAAAGAGCAAGAAGAGCCATAACATCGGAGAGTTTCTCATGAAACCAAGCATACTCCGTGCAGCAGAACTCGTTCTGGGGAAAGATAGTACAAACAAGCTTTCCCAAATTTCACTATCAAACGATACAGTCAAGGGAAGGATCGATGAATTGTCTCAAGACATGAAAGATCAAATTCTCGACCAAGTAAGAGATTCTCCTGTTTTTGCCATCCAGTGTGACGAAACGACTGACATCACTCAGTGTTCTCAGCTACTGATGTATGCTCGTTTCGTGTCAGGCAACAGTGTAAAAGAGGAAATGCTGTTCTGTCACCCCATGGAAAGTTGTACAACAGCAGCAGCTATTTTTCATGATGTATCAAACTTCTTTCAGGAAAACCATCTTTCGTGGGACTCGCTGGTAGGGGTGTGCACTGATGGAGCTCCAGCCATGCTTGGTCTGCAGTCTGGATTCATTACAATGGTGAAAGAAAAAAATCCGACTGTTATAGGTACACACTGCATACTTCATCGTGAATCCTTAGTATCCAGAACTTTACCTGCTGAAATGAGGGATGTCCTGAACGTGGCTATCAAGGTAGTCAACTTTATCAAAGCTGGAGCCTTAAACAGTCGTCTCTTAAAACTGCTGTGTAAGGATATGGAACCTGAACATGAAACCTTGCTTTTTCACACGAACGTACGATGGCTATCAAAGGGGAACATGCTTGGACGGCTTAATGAACTACGAGAAGAAGTAGCAATATTTCTTGGTTCGAAGCAGAAGGCAGATCTCCATGACAAGTTCCAGTCTGAAGGCTTTCAGCTATCTCTAGCTTACCTGGTGGACATCTTCGGAGCGTTGAATGCTCTCAACCTTAAACTACAAGGGAAAAACATCAACATCATCATGCACCACGACACCATTCGAATCTTCATGGCCAAACTCGACCTCTGGAAGTGTCGAATTCGGCAGGGAAATACAGCCTGTTTTAGTAACTTGGATTCTGCTCTCATTCACGGTAACCTTGATTCTGAGTTAAAGAAACAAATAATCACTCAACTAACTGACTTGAAAACAGAATTCATCAAATACTTCCCAGAGATAGATGAGAAGCGTGAAGCCTGGAAATTCATCAGGAACCCATTTGAATGTGAAGTAGCTGATGTTTCGGGTGAAGTGCAAGAGGAGTTTCTTGAGTTGAAGTTCAACTCCACAGCTAAGGAAGACTTCAAAGAACTGGATCTTGAGACGTTCTGGGTCAAGCACCTTCCTGTTTACCCTCTAATCTCTGTAGTGATGGGTTGTCAGACCACAGCTTACATCTCAGAAACTCCAGGCTTGACCCGACATTAGGGAGGTCAAGTGTAAGGGTATCCCCCGCAGGTGCTCAAGGGTGCTACAAATCAACTAGCTCCCCCTCCCATGTCACACATGTAAGAGGGCACCAGCCGGCTCTCTCCCAATATACACAATGTCCTACACCGCAGAGGGGGGCCAGTCTTGACCCGACATCAGGGGGGTCAAGTGTAGGGTAACTCTCACGGTGGACCGGGGGTTACAAATCAACTAGCTCCCCTCCCATGTGACAGGTCACCACAACAGACATGTAAGAAGGCACCAGCCGACTCTCTCCCAATATACAATAACCTACATCGCAGAGAGACGCCGGACCTGACCTCACATTAGCCAGGTCAAATGTAACCCTCGGAGCCCAACTCAAGGGGCCACAAATCAACCAGGGCCTCTCGTGTCACACGGCCCCACCTGATTACTTCTCCTTACATCTCAGAAACTCCAGTCTGACCCGACATTAGGGAGGTCAAGTGTAGGGGAACTCTCACGGTTGCTCTCCCAATATACACACGGCCCCACCTGATGACTTTCCCAGATAGTTCTGAAAAGTCCAGACCTGACCTCACATTGGCGAGGTCAAATGTAAGGAGACCCTTCGCCGAACCCCCCCCCGGCCAGCTGAACCTGACGGCTCGCATCCCAATATATAGGACGTCCAGGGAGAGCCAGCTACCACGTCCCCAGTCCCGCTCGAGAGAAGCCCACCACTAAGTGTAACGAAGTCTCAGCTGGGTCCATCGACAAAGTGCTGTCAACTCCACGTGTAACAGTAAGTGCTGGCTGTGTAGACTGTAGAAGTGCAGTGATCCCGAACCTCCCCAACGATCGACTTAGTGAAGTGCCCATTCTAATTGTGAGGTTAGGTTATACGAGAATACCATAGTCTATCATAAATTGTGTACGAACCCCCCCTATTAATCCCCCCTATTGAACTAGTAAAATAAAGCTGTAACACGCATTGGTGTTTTATATACTACACTTGTACTGAGCCTGTGTTAATATACAGTGTTGACATCACACCCTCGAGACACGCTACCATTTCCTCTCGCTATAATACTCTACTACTATAAACTCCTAACTTACCTCTTCATGTGAGATTTTGTCTCATTACATCTCACATCAGGCTCTTCGGATTCTAACTATGTTCGGATCCACGTATCTTTGTGAAGCTGCATTTTCCACGCTCGTTGCTGTCAAGAGCAAGTACAGAAACAGGCTGAACGTTGAAGGGGATTTACGTTGTGCACTCTCTGGCATTCAACCACGTATTCAAGATCTAGTAGCTAAGTCAAGTATCTCACTAATTTATACTCAATAAAAAGACTAAAAACACAATATTTTTCATTTTTCTTTAAAATCTGGGAGGGAATTTTATTCATAGAAGCAAGGGGGGCGTGGAGGGAAGGACCAATTCCTAGAGAGGGCGTGGTATTAAAAAGGTTAAGAACCACTGCTCTAAACCATGCACTCAGCAGAATCAGGACCTCTTGTTCGTAAGCACCGCCCCCCCCCTAATGTTTGTTCGGGTAAGGCAGCAAACGCCAGCACTTGACGCCAGCACTGATTCCAGCTGCAATAACACTCACGGCGGTAATACCCCCCGCAGCCGCCACATCTGGTGAGGTCACAGGCCGAGTGGGGGGGGGGGACACGTGGTCGCAGGCTCGAAGATGTAATGTTGTTCGGGTAAAGCAGCAGACGCCAGCACTGACGCCAGCACTGTAGTTGAAGCCAGAGGCGATAACACTGGGAAAGCATTGCAACTCAGAATTAAACAGCACAAGTACAATATTAGAACGGCATCTGAAAGCAGTGCACTTTTCGTTCATATAAGGAACAATATTATAATCAGCCCATAGATTGGGAAAACAGTTTAGAAGTGTATAAATCATCATATGTCACAGAAAGACTTTTAGTTGAAGCAAATTTGATTAGAGAAACGAATTCTTTAAACCTTAGTGATGGTCAGTACAAAACTGGTAATATGTTACACAAATTTATTTGTCAATGGCCCAAGGTTAAAAATGTTTTGAAAGCATTTAAGGTAGATGTAGGATAGATGATTAGTGGGTCTCATATTTTTTACCTGACTTGACATGACTAGTTATGTAGCTCGTTTTTATAAGCTTTCTTATGTTTGCTGTGTGGTTGGTGTGTGGATTAGTGGATCTCTTGTTTTTTGACCTGACCTCATGTTTTGTAAGGTCACCCTGTGTACATAAGCTCTCTCTAACTAAAAAACTCTCAGTCTTTGTAATTCAGTTGCCTCTGAGGATGTCTTGAATAAAGACGAAAGCTAAGGTTCTCAATTGTTTCCTTTCCTATATCTATATATATATATATATATATATATATATATATATATATATATATATATATATATATATATATATATATATATATATAAGCAAATCACTGTAGGTGCAAGGTGATCAAGGTATATGCTGATAACCACCTATATATATTTATATATATATATACAGTATATATATATATATATATATATATATATATATATATATATATATATATATATATATATATATATAGTGTCAGTTTATGATATACGTGTGTAATATTCTTCTATAGACTGTGCCATCATTTATAAAGTACTGTAAGTAAATAATTAATTATACACTTGACTGAACATTATTCAAATGAAGACGTTATATTTTTTAATTGAAATTAGTTTTTATTATGTCATATTAGTAATTGATGTGAATAACTGTGTGATTTACTGAACTTTGAATAGATACCTGAGATTAATGTTTATTTCAGAGGTTTTAATTGTTGCTGTGTTTTATTCAAAGAATTTTCAATGTAATTTTTTAATACTGTATTCAGTTGCAAGATGATCACTAGATGAGAGCAATATTATTGGTGAGAGAAGCTCACCAGTTACAGCGGCGAATTTATAAGTTGGAAAAATTTTATGTGTCCAGTAAGAAATTATACCTAGACATATAGAAATTTTATTTTTATTTTTAACTACATGATATGATAAGTAAAGCAGAGTTAGAAGCAGTATTTCTACCTCTTAAAATAAATTTACTTCTATATATCACCTGGATTTATTATTTTTGCATGCTTACTGATGTTCTTTAATAAGTGTGTATATTTGAGTATTGAAACTGATTATCACTATGAATTTTTGACTAGTAACCTTTTTCTTTGAATTTTTAGATAAGGTAACATAAAGATTAAAAACATGAATTAAATGATGATGCTTCCATAACTAACCAACTGTCTATCGATCAAGCACAACTTGAATTACCCTGTCTGAATAACGAATAATAAAGGAATAAATACTCAAATATCGCATGGTATAACACTACAGCATAAATAATTTACATAATTAAAAAACAGTTAGCCCAGATTATTTAAAAATTTTATATTGATATAATGCAACCAGACCCTGACCACAGTCTTAACCTACCAATTTTATGAGTTATTACTAGTTGAACATCACAATAACCCATATAGCCTAATATTGCCTCACTAAATGTAAACAAATCCGAGACACGACACCTCCTATGGTCACGAACGATGACTTTCTTACTTTGTTTTCGCAATATTTCGTTTATTTTAGTTGTCATATATTCTGTCGCCCTAATTTGTATTGTATACATCATATAATTATTAATTCACTATTGGCATAAAATATATCATATATAAGGCAATATATCTCCATACCTACATGATTACCAAGTCTAAAAATAGAGTATTATACCAGTACAAATTTGTCAAAATCTGCATCAAAGCTCATCAAATTATCCAGATGTATGTGGATGTCTAAATTATTTGCGGCTGTTCCGCGAATCCGGATGTCACAAACATCACTTATGTACAGTATGTATCTGTATTTTACTTGGAGAATGTATAATTATTTCCAACTGACAAAAGTTCTTTGTTGTGACAATTTGCTGGAAATTTCACCTCTATATTATACAAAGCCCATGTAATTATTCTCTCTCTCTGTCGGTCATCCTTAAACACACTCTGACACTCTCACCCCCATTTCAGCACAAAATTCTCCTGTCACTCCTACACCTGCCCCTCTCCACCCTCCCTCCCCACTCCTCCCTCTCCACCATCCGTTCCCACTCCTCCTTTCTCCACCCTTCCTTCCCACTCCTTCCTATCCACGCTCCATCTCTACTCCTCCTTCCTCTCCACCAGAATCGCTGACTTGACCTTGTAGCTCAGTGGTGGAGTGTTGGTGCGGTCAGATAGCGTTGTGGTGGCATTGTGAAATATGATGGTGAATAGTGATAGTGATCAGCGCCATTGTTGTCTCTCCCCCTTGGTTGGGGGGATGGGGAGGGTGAGGGGAAAAAAGATCGAGGGTACAATAAATGCTGATTGACGAATATTCAGATTTTTAGGAAATCTGTACGGTATAATTATGCTTTAATTGCTTTCATATAAACTTGCTCAGAGATTTTGATATAAATGATAATAGTATAATTAGTAGTAGTAACTATGAGTAGTTTAAATAATATTTTAGCCCATCGTAAATAAGATAATGTGTTTACCGTGTATGCATGTTTATATGATCTCTCTCTCTCTCTCTCTCTCTCTCTCTCTCACACACACACACACCAGAAAATATTTACTATACATTGGGTTGTTGTTAATTTCTAGTGATGTTCATAGGTCAACTGCAGCTCTTCATTTAAAATCAGTCACAGTTTTTAATTGACTTGTTTTCAAGTGAGGTGTTGTTTCCTGTGGTAGATATACTGTGGTTAGTTAGCGAGGTGTTGTTTCCTATGGTTGGTGGATATTCTGTGGTTAGTGAGGTGTTGTTTGCTGTGGTGGATATACTGTGGTTAGTGAGGTGTTTCCTGTGGTAGATATACTGTGGTTAGTTAGCGAGGTGTTGTTTCCTATGGTTGGTGGATATTCTGTGGTTAGTGAGGTGTTGTTTGCTGTGGTGGATATACTGTGGTTAGTGAGGTGTTTCCTGTGGTAGATATACTGTGGTTAGTTAGCGAGGTGTTGTTTCCTATGGTTGGTGAATATACTGTGGTTAGTGAGGTGTTTCCTGTGGTAGATATACTGTGGTTAGTTAGCGAGGTGTTGTTTCCTATGGTTGGTGGATATTCTGTGGTTAGTGAGGTGTTGTTTGCTGTGGTGGATATACTGTGGTTAGTGAGGTGTTTCCTGTGGTAGATATACTGTGGTTAGTTAGCGAGGTGTTGTTTTCTATGGTTGGTGGATATTCTGTGGTTAGTGAGGTGTTGTTTGCTGTGGTGGATATACTGTGGTTAGTGAGGTGTTTCCTGTGGTAGATATACTGTGGTTAGTTAGCGAGGTGTTGTTTTCTATGGTTGGTGGTTATCAGTGTTCATCATCACCATTAAAAACCATCTACTGGTCCTACTGCGGTCACATATACTCGCCGTCAGCTCCCTAGTAGGCCGCGTCATCCAACAATGGACTGAATCTGCTGCCACTGCGAGATCCATGGTTCAACTGAGGAAAACGGTGGGAATAAGACTAGCACCGTCGAACACGTAGAATGCAGAGAGCTTGCACTGGAACTGCCCGTTCGGTTCGTTCGTGCGTTGTCTGCTCGTTTGGTTCATTCTGGCTAAAATGCTCAAGTGAAGACGGACCCTTATAGTACGGCTCAAGACTAGACATCACTCTACATTATCTCCAGTAAAATTCAATGGATGTGAAGTGTTTGTTGACAACGGTACTCCTACCGCCCACGGGAAACCATGTGGGCGGTGTTAATAACTTGTTAGAAAATAGTTTTAGTTACTAGGCGTGAAAATATAAGAGAGGGGAGTGAAGTGAGCTATGGGGGTGTTTATCCTGAGCTACCTTGGTATTTGCTGAATACACGACTCTGCAGATGGCGAGTGGCGTCTACGCAGGGGATACACTGAGACTACCCAGTCAGACTACCTCTTACAGATATACTGTTAACAGCTAAAAACATCTGCTGGCATTAGACTCGTAAAGCATAAGTGTGTGATGCATTAAATGATTCACATATATGAGAATTACTTACACATTCCTTAATATATGTGTCTACAATAATTATGTTAAGACTTTATATCATGTGTTAAGGAATTGATTCAATGATACCTAAATGTGGTTCTGTTACTGTGTCCTGCTAATATATTGTTCGAGTCCATCATAACGAGTTTCGCTATCCTGCAAGCCAGTAGTCGTCTTAATTGGCGATTACAGGTACAATCATGTACAGCTGTTTAATCAGTCATGCTGTTTAATCATTTATTTTTTATTAAAGGCTCGAAACTTGCTTTCAGTTGTCTACCATTGACTGTGGGTGCGTCTTCACTTGAGCGTTTTAGCCAGAATGAACCAAACAAGCAGACAACGCACGAACAAACCGAACGGGCAGTTCGAGTACAAGCTCTCTGTATTCTACGTGTTCGACGGTGTTAGTCTTATTCCCACCGTTTTCCTCAGTTAAACTATGGATCTCGCAGTGGCAGCAGGCACATTCTTCATTATTTACTCCTTAGCCAAAAGGAAAAAGAAATCTAGGATGCTTCCTAACTTTATCGTAGTACAAGCCATGTTGGGGATTCCACAGCTCAGGATGCTTCTCATATTCATCCAATAAGGTTAAACATTTCTCCCTGTCCCACTCCATAACACACCATATAGCTGGAACAGCGGGAACACCCGTCCTGGCTGCGCACCACCGAGCAACTGAATGATCTGAATCCTTTTGAGCACGCACCATCTACCGACAAGAGCAGAAAACGTTTGGCGCGCTCGGTTCGGCTTGGAGACATGTCCTTACTAGCCAAATTATGCTGGGTGCATTCTGCTCTTTTGCTTCGTTCTGGCTAAAATGCCCAAGTGAAGACGCACCCTAAGATAGAAAAGCTATTGTCTGAGTTAAATGTTTTCCTGGTCATTGACAAGAGAAACTCCAGTTACACCTGATATTACGACCCGAGGTAGGCTGTGCTGGCATGGTCATTGGTATTTCAGTGCTGGAAACGTAATATGGCTTGATGGGTGACGACACGACGGCGCCACTTATGCATTACCAAACAGGAATATTTGTCTCATGTTAGTCAATATTTGAACATGGAGACTGTAAAGTTTGTAAGATATTACTCATTGTAAGTAAATAAATAGGGCAAAAGCGCTTTTTTCCTCATGAATTTATAATCCACTTTAGATAGCCATGACCTACAGTACAGCCCCTCACATTGCTATCCTTGGTTCTTGATCAGTGCTGGTAGTATATCGTGAAGCCTTGTGTTTTTATTCGTGTCTGTTTATTGTTTCCTTATCATATTCTTAGTTATTGCCTTCAGCATGCCTGATGTGTGAACAACAGAACGTCCTGTGGAGATACCGCCCTCACATATATCAGCAGGTGAATAATGAATAACTCACTTCTCTATTTCTCGAAATAAATTTCTCTTGCAGTTTCAGTTCAAAAATATTTAAATCTATCAAACTCAATCAATATTCACCAATTGTCTCACCCAAATTTCACTAACTCGCCAACGTTCTGCATCCTGATGATCTGTTACTCAGCGTTCTGCATCCTGGTGCTCTGTTACCCAACGTTCTGCATCCTGGTGCTCTGTTACCCATCGTTCTGCATCCTGACGTTCTGTATCCTGATGCTCTGTTACTCAGCGTTCTGCATCCTGATGCTCTATTACCCAGTGCGATGCTTTGCTCCAGTGGACCTAACATGGCGGACCCTAATTTGATGACATCACGTCGAGTGATGAGCTATATGTGGAGCCACTATTGTTGGCAACAAATGGAGTTATAACGTGTGTAAGACTCCTCCTAAGACCAAAGTTCTGTTCTGAAAACTGTAGAGGGAAACAGTCAACCTCATATTTCTACCGGAGCTAATATAAGCTATCTGAGGTATATATAGGAGAGAGGTGAGGCGAGATCTGCAGGTGGCCGATGTAGTGAGAGCAGCCAGGCTGAGATGGGATGAACTTACTATGAGAGCGGAAGATCAGAGAGTTGTTCAGACTGTGTGGAGAAACTTATTAGTGTGAAGAGGACGCGTTGGCCATTGATTCAAGACTGCAGGGACTTAAAGTGGAGGAAATTTTTGGACCTGAGTAATAATCGTCGTAAAGAGAGATGGTTTGTTACATCACCCTAGACATTGCAGGGACCCATCACGCAGTGTGATTGAGTATGCATACATACGTAGACAACAAACTAAATTGGAAACCACACGTCAGTGAAGTTGTCAAATCCTCCAGTTTCCGTCTCCACCTCCTCCGCCGACTCAAGTCCCTCGGAGTTCCTGCACCCGAGCTCCTCAGTGTTTACTCAACATTCATACTTCCCAAGCTCACCTATGCCTCCCCCACCTGGTCTTCCTCCCTAAATGCCACACAACGTAAACACCTAGAAAAAGTGCAAAAGAGGGCGTGCAAGATCATTCTCTCCCCTTCCTACTCCACATATCAAAAAGCGCTCAACACACTGACCCTTTCGACTCTCACTGACCATCACCACGACCTCATCTGCAAATTTGGTAAGAAGCTTCTACACCATCCTCGACACCGGTTCCTACTACCACCTGAGATCCCTAGCCCGAGAATTGCTGTTCGACACCACAACCGCATCCAGCCCATACGTGCACGAACTGATCGCTATAAGAACGGCCCAGTCCCAACCATTGTAAAAATTATCAATAACTTGTAATAAACCAGTGTATTCACTCCCAGTAAATACTACTTCTTGCACTGTCACTATGTTGAAATGCCCTGTAGTTTGAGCGTTTCCCCATCTAGTTATTATATATCTAATTTATATCACTTATGTTATTTGTATATTATTTGTAATTCGAAACCCATTCCCCAGATATGTAACTGTATATTTTCAGCCTTCTGGCTGCCAAGCTCTTTCAATAAACCGTTAATTATTATTATTATTATTATTATTATTAAGACTTACAGCCACAGGTTTGTATCCTGTACCTGTATTTCATACTGCACACTTGCCTACACCTGACTCAATTAACCTTTTCTAAAAGGAGTTTTGAAATTTCGTCCTGGATCGCGTGATTGTCTGGAGAAAGTGAGGAGGAGAGCTAAGTCGATGGTTACAAGAAGGGGTAAAGGAAGAGATTCGGGATGAGGGGGAAGGAATAAAAGAAAAATAAGGGAATAAGGAATAGATTGTGAGGAAGGAATAGACGAAGAAGAAAAAGACAGGAGGGGAGAGAACGATAGCAGTTAATGGATAAAAGGTGGAAAGAGAAGAAGTAATTAGAGATATAGAGGCTAACTAAATATGAGGTAAACCAGGAATATGAGAAAGTAATGAATGAAGAAAGAAAAAGAAAATTTTGATATGAGAGAAAGAATAGATCGAAGAAGACAAATAGATAGAAGAAGACAAAACAAGCTAAGCAGTTCAAAGGCTAAATATACATGAGTGTGTAGAGTGAAACTCTCCCCTGTAAATAATCAAGGAACAGAGTGAGCCACACAATGTAGGCGAATTCTGACCATGATTCTATGTGCGATTCCAGACAAAACTCCTTAAATTTTGACCATGTTTAATACCTACTTTAGGTGAACGTAGGACAGACGGATAATAGTTTTAACAAGCACTAAGGTTTATCTTTGAATTAAATACGTTCGTCTATGTTATTCTGGTATAAATGCTAGTTAGACTATCAGTCACACTTATGACCCAATAATACATGTCAGATACTATCAAGTGGCAAAATTGGCCATAATTGACGTATAGTTATAAACACATAAAATTCCAAGAAACTAATTTCATGCAACAACTGTAGTCCTGCTGGCGAACCTTTACATAAGGTGCATACAGACATTGAACTAGATTGCCCAACCCAACAATAAAAGCAAAAAAATACGAAAACAATTATTGGGAATTCTGATGAAGAAAAAACAATAATTCGCATCTCTGTGATCTCATAACAAGCTACTCTGAAACTGGGATATTTTTTATTGTCAGGCGAGCTTATCATCGGCTTTGTGGTTCACTCCTGCTTTTGTGATTGTTCGGTTTCATGTGAGTCTTGAAAGAGAGATAATTTGGGCGGGCAAGTGGCTTTATAATGCTGGTTGGTGTTCCATAATAATGCAATTTTGGACGATATTGCTTTAAGTAATCCACACCTGGCCCTGTCTGTTGGTCTATCACTCTCCCTTTCTCACGTGAGTGTGTTTAGTAATAATAATAATAATAATAATAATAATAATAATAATAATAATAATAATAATAATAATAATAATAATAATAATAATAATAGTAATAATAATAATAATAATAATAATAATTAACAGCTTATTGAAAAAGTTCGGCAGCCCGAAGGCTGAAAATATACATTGGACATAAATGATTTATTGCATACAAAGACATGGGGGAGGGGGGGGGGGCGGGTTGCTTAACAAAAGCCTTCATTAGAAAAAGGAAAAGGAATATACAGTGAACATACAGATTAATGTTTACAGTGGAAATTATGTAAGTCACATGCGTTGAGATGTTGAACAGCAAACACGTGGTGTAGTAACTCCCTCACAGATGGTGTTATGAGTGCCTGACGTGGTGTAATAATTTCCTCACAGATGGTGTTATGAGGGGTCTAGCGTGGTGTAGTAATTCCCTCACAGATGGTGTTATGAGGGGCCTGGCGTGGTGTAGTAATTCCCTCACAGATGGTGTTATGAGGGACCTGGCGTGGTGTAGTAATTCCCTCACAGATGGTGTTATGAGGGGCCTGGCGTGGTGTAGTAATTCCCTCACAGATGGTATTGTGGGGGACCTGATGTAGTGTAGTAATTCCCTCACGAATGTGTCTGTATACACGTTTTATCATTAGGATATGTTTATGTAACCTAATCACGTAGAATTCAGGATGGCCGCCGACAGTCAAATGAGAGCTTGAAACCATGTTATGTTAAGTTTGTTCAGGACAGAGCTTCAAGTGACGTCTTTCTCTGTCGTCTGAAGCGCATTTATGATAACAAACTCTTCTTCAAAAATATGAATCGCATGTGTCATCACGTCTGAATAATAAAAAAGAATAACACGAATGTAAAGCAACTCGGACATAAACAAGCTCGTCTGGAAATAGAATCGAAGCACACGTATGTAAATAAGGTCATATAAATAAAACAAAACCGAAGCATAATGACAGAAAAAGCTTACGGTTGTAAACAAAACTATTCGCTCAACAAGAGCGAATTGTATTGCATAAAATTTTGTAAACACAGCAGCAGTAACTCCTCAAAGACATGATGTTTTACCCTCTCGGGGGGATAGAGATATTTGGTCCTGTGAATTTGTGTAGCGCTCATGCCTCCTGCTGAAATATTCCCACCAAATATTTCAAACTCTCGGTATTCAAGAGCACTCTAAAGGCTTGCTGAACCTAACAACAAATTTAAATCCTTGTAATTGACTGTTTGTAGTCTGCCCAGCTCCTGCCTCACTTCACTTGACTGGTGGATGATTTTCACGTGTGTGTGTGTGTGTGTGTGCGTGTGTGTGTGTGTGTGTGTTGTTATGACCGTGTCGCATTTTTCTATAATTTTTTATAACATGCTTCCATGTTGTTTCATATTATTCCTGTAATGATGTGTTATATTTACTATTATATAATCTAGTCACCTTACCCTGTGCTGTTAAGGTTTTAACTGTTATTATTTGTTCAAGCCCATCTTATTTCTTCATTTAGTATTGTAACAAGCATTCTTTGTTTCTCTAACGACCATCTGCATCGTTAAACGACCCATGTTTCACCTGCTGGTCGCATTGGCAGGAAACGACCCTATATATAGTACTCCACCTGTAGACAGAGTTCAGTCCAGTCCTCT